AACAATTAACGCATAATTAAGTATTAATTAAGCATAAAATTGTATATTTGGACATTAAATGCTAAAAATGCAAACGATGCCTATTTTTGTAATTTTTAATTTTTGTAAAACAAATTTAATTATTATCAATTATAGAATTAAATTCTACATGCAAAATGCGACATATTTTTGTATTTTTTATTAATTTAGCAAATAAACACGCACAGACAACTACAAATAATTATTCAAAATATCACGAAATTGCACACCAAAGAAAATCATTTTATTTTTGAATTTTTGGGAGTAATTCTCATATAGGGCAAAAAATCACGTGCTTACAATGTTGCCCTGGTAATAGAATGAGGGTGTAATTGTAATAGATAGAGGATGACGTTTGGGCCTTCGCTTGAGTAATGATTTGAAAAAAAACAGGAGATTTCATGAATTGTACAGGATTAAAATACCCACATAAGGTGAATCACATTGGGATTCTATGAAATACGGTTATTGAAGTATAGTATCGCCCCTAGGTGTATCAGGCAAGTCACTTCAGATATTCCTCAATGAGACGTAAGCCCTAGTGACAATGCTATGTAAAAGGTTTCAAGTTATCAGCGGTAGATTATGGATCAATATTAAGGTAAATCAACAATAGATTGATAAAGTTCCAACGTATGAGAGGAGATAAGGATGACATCCTTTAGATGAACAGTAATAAGGAAGTATTGAAGGACTTGGATTTATACATCTATGATAAGAAGCGAGAGAGTAACCTGTAATTGGGTAGCAGACCTCGATAATAATAAAACCAAAGTCAGAGTTATGGTATAGTATAACCTACCTAGATGCAGTAAAGTTATATGGATTGATAACCAGGTCTATAAAGTGGGATATAGCAATAGTCGTAAGTTCGACAAAGTACCGAGCAAAGAACTTTAGTACACCTATGGATTCCCAGAAGGAAACCTTGTCAAGTTCAGTATATGTTCCCAAAGTAAGGCCTAGAGATTGGCTTAAAGCTAGAGGGAAGAGTCGCATAGGCGCACATACAAGGAAAAAGTCGTACAGGCTACATGACATAAGGTAGCAATACTTACGAGACTGGAAGAATTCTGACCACAAGTCGTGGTGTGAGAAAAAGGCCTAAAGGGAGGAATTCCCTGACCTTTGGATTTATTCACAGAACAATTGCCTAAATAGCAAGGACAGTATTAAATCCATTCGTAAGAGCTATCCGGTTAGGAGAAAAATAAGTGCATCAGTCAACATCCGAGGACGAATATTCCAAAGGGGGGAATGATGTTACACCTCACAGTATTACGACGATGTTACACCCCGTAGAATTGTACGTTGGATTTGTCATAAGATAATTGACATCAGTTCAAGGACAAGATTATTTTGAGGTGATAAGCATTACGCTATTTCAAACAAGTGATAAGTAAATTCGTGAAGGTGAGAGGCTAAGCGAATCGAAGAAAATAAGTTTCGTCGAAGTTTGACATTTTGAGATAAAATACGGTCCAAGCTATAGTACCCTGTATTTATGGACCAATGTCATACAAGGTACTATATGACCATGATAGTAAGGTGTATAAAGTGTGTAAAAGTGATTAGTATTTTAAGTAATTTAAGATAATTCTTGATTATGTGATAATTGGGTAATTATTGATTTTTTTGTGGGACATTAGCTAATTAATTATAATCTTTAAGATTAGTAAGCCTCCTAACGTGGCAGCAATTGAGGTCTTCATCAAAGCCAAAATTGTGACTCTTATTTCATGTAATTAGGTGGTACAACAAGGAGTCTTTGGGCAAGACTAAGCCACAAAGTGGGGCCCACAACCTACAATCTTAAGAGATCTTCTTATCTTATTAAAGTGGGATGCTAGGTTTGCTAAGTAAGGGTGGAGCTCAAACAATTCATGGCAGCCACCATATTTATGTTTTCTTCACTAGATAAGTGTTGATGGTTTTGTCATGAGACAGATCTTCTTATCTCTACCTACCTTTTCTCTCTAAGGAATGAATGTTTTCTTCACAAGATGGAAGCCACCATATTTACTAAACAAACTGCATAATACTATAGCAGCATGAAATCGCGATTCTAAGGAAGTACGGTACAATCTTTCTCAAGAATATCATACGGATTTTTTCCTACTTCGATTCGCAGTTACGTGATTTGCCGCAATTGACGTGTGTTATAAGGATTGTCAAAAGAATCAGCTCAGGTATGTTAAGGCTATCCCTTATTTCCGGTTGGCATGATCCATACGATACAAACGAAACGAGCAAATGCACAACTTTCATAAATGACTCTATTCATAGAAGTACTAGAGATGCATATGTTCTTGATTTCTCATGTGTCCTATTGTTCTATCATCTGTTCATGGGTCTCAGAAAATACGTAAATTGATAAAGTTTATTTCATGAAATTAATCAAAGGCATAATGATCTTATGACATACCCAGAAATCTTATTAACTCACTTCGTATGCATTGCATTCAGTTATACATGTACATTGACTCATGACCAGATGGCGTTATATATGCGTATATATATGTAGATATATGTATATGGGGTATGAGGAAAGGTTATGGTGTTATATACGCATCACCACCTAATCAGCTGGTATATGTTGATAATTTTGCCCACAATGGCCGAGATGATATGATGGGATGCCATCAGAGGCTTGATGATGTTATGTACGCATATACTATACGTGGTATGACATTTATACGCAAATGCATGATATTTTAAATATTAAATTATTTACATAGTTATTCAGACTTGCATGTTGAGTCTTTTACTCCATGTTTCTCTCATGATTTTCATTTACTAATGTTCATTCCTTACATACTCGGTACATTATTTGTACTGACATCCCGTTTGCCTGGGGACGTTACGTTTTACGCCTGCAGGTCCCGATAGACAGGTTGAGAGTCCTCCAAATAGGCTATCAGCTCAGCGGAAGGTGTTGGTGTGCTCCATTTGCTCCGGAGTTACTTATTTGGTCAGTATAATTTGGATATGTATTGATTGGTATGGTGGGGCCCTGTCCCGATCTTTGTGGTATTTATCTACTCTTAGAGGCTTGTAGACAGATGTCATGTATATGGAAACTTGTATGGTCTTGTTGGCTTATATTTTGAGTATATAAAGAATTATGACGGCCTTATAGATCCGTACATCATATATATATGTCGGTATATCATGTTGGGTCATCCTATGTCGAGTATTCCATCATACTTTATTCTAATTATCTCATGACAGCCCTTTTGGTTCATTTACCTATGTTAGTATAATACAAAAGATACGTTACGTTGGTACTCGGTTGAGTAAGGTACCGGGTACCCGTTACGGCCGATTGGTTTGGCTCGTCACACTAACATTGAATTTATATAAGACTTCAAAATTCGAGATTATATGTGTCGATACCTTCTCCTGACATTGCAAATTTGGAATAATTCTTTGTGATGTACATAATTTTAATATCATACGGATTCTTTTAATTTTTTATCCGTAAAATATTATTTTGTACAGTTTTAATTTTCTTTATTATTTATTGGTTGGACTTCTAATGGTTCTCATCTTTGAATAGGAATATAAGAAGATTTCGTAGAAAGTAGCAAAAAGAATGACGTACTGAAAAAGGCCAGGAAAGCGAGAAAAGGTTTTAGGTTGGAGACAATGTGTAACTAGAATTATGGGATTGTTAAAAAGGTTTGGAGCAAATATATGGGAGTTATTAATTATCCTAACCATAGTTAGAGCTTTACTTTGATTAATTAAGGGTGTGTTTGGTATGAAGGAAAATGTTTTCGATGAAAAATGTTTTCATGGAAAATGAATGATTTTATTACTTATTTTTTCTTGTTTGGTGAGTGGAAGATCTTCTCCGAAAAATATTTTCTAGTGTTNAAAAAAAAAAATAACCCAACGTTTTCAGGACTTTATTTTTCTTCAAGAATTTAATTATTCTTTTAAAAATTCATATAAACTCAAATGAACTAATGTGCTGCTTTACTTTTTTACACAAAAGTAATATTAAAATTTGAGGAAAAGGAAAAAAAATGAGAAATGGAGAGGAGCTTCATCCGAGCTTGATTATATCACCGCATAAGGTCCATTTACGGGGGAAGCATTCCATAACAGAATTTTTTCCATACTCAAGGTTCGAACCCGAGACCTTTGGTTAAATATGAAGGGTTCTTATCCATCGTACCACAAGCTATGTTGGTTACTCAAATCTTTCATATATTCACTCTTGTGGTCTGGCTCTTCCTCGAACTCGGCGCATAGCAGAAACTTAGTGCACCGGGCTGCCCTTTTTACATATAATTACACTACACCGACGGTATAAATATTTTTGAACTATATTGCCAGTTAAAAGTCAATTGCAAGCTAAGTGACTTCCTATAGATTCATGAACTATGACCTGCAAAAGATGGTAAGGTAACAACCTGTAAAAATACACTAACATTGTGAAAATATATACTTACTTTATTAGTCATCTCTCTGGAATTCAAAGGCGAATACAAAATTTAAATCTTATGGGTTTTGAGAGTTCGAGCAAAAATTCTCAGTTCGGATGAACCATAGCTAATCTTATGCATCCGCCCCTGCTATAGATTAATTTACCAGTTTAGAATGTGGTGGAGTAGTAACTCAACCTATCTATCTATCAGCTGGTATATCGACTTCTACCTAACTAGACTATCAGATCACCAACTCTAACCATCCAAGTCAAAAATCCCCCCCCCCCCCCAAAAAAGTCAAAACCTCAATCAATAATAGTAAACAAAATTGGACAAATATATATATATAGACACGCATTGCAGCGCAGAAATCTCTGTTATTCTGGTAATAAAACAGCAACAAAAATTCCATGGAGATGAAATTATATCAAACAGCTTCAATTTGTTTGCTGCTGCTGATGATACAGAGTGCTGAGGCTCAAGACAGGAAGTGCATAAAGAAGCTGCTGCCTTGCATGAAATTCCTGAATGGAACAAGAGGGAATCCACCAGATAGTTGTTGCAAACCATTAAAAGATGTGATAAAGAACATGCCTGAATGCTTGTGTCAAATGGTAAGTATCAAAGGCAGCAACGCAGCGGAGAAAGCTGGGATTGACATTAATGCGGCTCAAATGTTGCCTGCTAGATGTGGACAGCCTGTTAATTACATGGGATGTCTCAAGGGTACGTTTCTCTCTCAAACATTCATCGCTTTTTCCTACATTTTTTTTAAAATAAGATAGCTTCCGGTCTAGTTATTAGTGCCATTTTTAACTAATACCGTGGATAAGTGCTACATCCTATTAGCACAAGCTTACTATGGGTAACTTCAAAAGTAGATGCAATTATAACTGACTAGGTTCATTTGAACTCAATACTTTCAAATGGAGTATAAATTTTATGTAAAAATCCACTTAAATTACAATAAATAGTAAATATATATGAACCATAACTTAAAAAATATAATAGAATCAATGGTAGGAATCTTAAAGATTGATCGCGACCCCAACTCTTTTTTTTCTTGCACTTGTCCTCGTCTATGTGCCTCAATTTACTGTCTCGCACTGCTACCAGCCCCCTTTGCATGTGCACCTCTCACGCGAAGCACGAGCTTAGGACGAGCTAGCTTTTCTTCTTCTTTCTCGTTTCTTCATTCTTGTTTTGCTCCAAATCACCCTATTTTCTTCCATTATCATCTGAACTTGTTCTTACACAGATACACACACACACACACACACAAAAAAAAAAAACTTAATGAGTAAATTCATCTAATATCCATGCAATTTTATCAAATCACAAGAGACTTGGGACGTAAAAACATCCAAAATCATGACTTTTTGCCAACTTTCAAACTCAAAGAGCTTATATCCTAGACTTATCTCTGAGTAACTCTATCTACAAAAGTTCAGAAAAAAATCACCTTATATTTTTTTTTGCCGGGTCTTTGCTAAGATTTGAACCTGTATGATCTCTCATGGCTTTTTTTCCTCTTTTTCGTCCACCTTGGTGCAAACATTTGAATTCCTACAAATCTCACAAAGTAATGGAGTAATACTTTGAGTTTTGGGATATGCACTTGCAAAGAACTCTCTATTGCAAAATTAATTTCTACGGATGAACTTAAACTTAAGAAAAATACAATATATGTAACGCGCCTTGAAACAATTGTTGTTTCATATATTTTCTGCACTAGGCATATCCATATACTTACAAGGAGTTGTCAAGTCTCTATATATGTAAAATATTTTACCCGCTAATAACTTAGAATCTATTTTGTTTTCAGGAGCATCAAGTTCCTCCGGGTACTCGATGAAATCTTCAAGTGTGAAAATGCTATTGGCTGTTGCTTCTCTGTTTTCTGCTCAACTTCTTTAATTTGGACTTCATATAGTACAGACCTCAATTTCTGCTTTTCATGATGAACAATTGACCTCAGTTTATAGTCTCACTCTATTTTAGTTTTTCTTCTTTTTCTCTATTTTGTTAACTAATGAATATTGTTTTTTTTTTTTTGTTAAAACTGAATATAAATTTAGTGTCCATCTTCTTTGATTCGTTTCTTTTTACCTACCTACTATATATTGGTGGCTTCATTTCTTATTTTTATTTTGGCATTTGTTTAACCAAAAAATGGGATTTCGGTCAAAGCTTTAATTTAGAAGAACTCGGGTTACTAATAATCAAAAGAATATATGAAAGAGAGTAATTTGGCTAGCAATAATTTAATGAGAAGAAAAACAAGTAAATCGATATATTCAAATAGTTTTTCGTGTCCTTACAATTGATCAGTTATCTCCCTTTTATAGCTATTTGGGAGATATACGTTTTGCCCTTGTCATAATAAGGCTATTATGAGTAATTAAAGACATTGAATGCTACGCTACACAATCATTGTATTTAATACAGATTTTCTAACGTATTCAGTATTTAATGCTCACTAAATACTGTATATGTACTCTCATCTATTGTCAGATTCATTTCCCTTGATTCCTGGACCTAAATGACTTAAATAGGTACAGGCGCTGAGTCCTTTAAATATCTGCCCGTGCCTCTTCCTTTGCCTTTGCTCGTATCTGTTGCAACTCGTGTCTCTTTTCCAGCTGTAACTCTTTGACTAGTCTACATGTCTTGACACGTCATCTTTATTCCACTTTAATATGTAAACTCATTTTTCCCAATACAGATAGTCCCCCCACTTGCCATTTATTCATCAATTGAATATTTGGGAAGTGGATTTCATTAAAATGAAAATTTTTGTCACCATTAACGCTAAGACAAAATTGACGCTTCAATTGTCACTTCTATTTAATGTTCTTCACACGTGTCACCTTTTTATTAGTTCTGCAATTTTGCAGCCTTTTTTAAGGCTTTTTCATGGTTACACTATTCACGAAGCGTCAGTTATCATTATTATGGTACTTCCATCATTACACTTTTTCCTTCGGCAGTCGTTTATCAGTATAAATATAACTTCTTTCTTTGTCTTTTCCTCATAAAGTTTACTAAATATCCAATCTCTCAAATCCGTGTTTGCTTTTTCATCGTATCATCCTTCTTCATCATGTCTTCTTCAAATTCTAACCCTAGAAGGGTTCTCATAGTTGATACCTTCCTTAATGCCTCCATTAGAAGTAGTAGGGTAGGTAGGCTTCATAATTTAGGATCTGTTTGCGGTTCTTCCACTCCTTTACCTAGTTCTGGCCCTTCTTCTAGAACTAGGGGTTCACTTTCAAAAAGATCTTCTTCAAGAGGTAAAGAACCTTCTGAACCTCTTCGTGAGCCTACAGTAGAGGAGATAGTTCCTATGGAACTATCTTTTTGTCATGACAGAGAATCTCTTAGGAACCATGTCTCTGGTTTAGATTGTGCTGATATTTATCCCACTCAAATTACAGAAGGTTTGATTTCTGTAGTTCGTAGAGACTGTTATTGGAGTAGTGATTTTTCTATTATTATCCCTAGTCCAAATCAAAGAATCACCTCTTACATAACCGGGTTTTATTTTGTTTATACATACCCTTTCACCTTAGGGTTTAGACCATCTATTGACCCTGTTATTCTTGAGTTCTGTCGTTTCTTCGATGTTTGTTTGGGTCAAATTGGCCCAATCATATGGAGGGTTGTTGCTTGTTTGAGGCATTTGACCAACACAGCTAGTGTTCCCATTACTTTCCCTCATTTGATTCACCTTTACTCCCCTAGACTCTTCCGTAAAGGTGTTTTCACACTAGTAGCCAGGAGTAAGAGAGTTTTGGTAAGCCCTGAGGATGACAAAGACCGTGGCTGGTATGCCAGGTTTGTTGCTGCCCCCACTGTTGGTTTAGTGGGTGATGATAATGTTCCCTTCCTTGAGAAGTGGAATTTTGCACGTAAGTCTTTTTAACTTTCTCGTACCTTTTTTCTTCAAGTTTGTCAACTTTTCTAATTTTACTTTTTTTAGCAACCATGGGAGTTGTGGAAGACATTCCCAATTTCCGTGATTGGGTAGACACGTTATTGAGGACCGCACCAATGGATGGTAGGTCTTGGAAGACACTTTCTAACCGTTTTGGTTGGAAAGTAAAAACTCATGGTAAGAGTTTTATTTTATTTCATTTTTTTTGTGTATATATTTTTTTTATTGCACTAATTTCAATCCATCTTTTTATCAGGATTTGCTATTCGTGGAGTCACTGCCGAGGCAGTCACGGCTTCCCGTATCTCTTTGGAAAGGGCTCAAGAAATAATCTTGGGTTCTTCTGCAAAAAGAAAAGTCGTTGCTGTTGAGGAACAAGACTCTGAAGAGGAGGAAGATGGGGGCTCTTTGGTGACAAGGCCACGAGCTCGAAGATGCATAATTTCTGATGATGAAGCAGAGGTATCCCCCCGTCGTTCTGTTCCTTTTACCGAGTCTGCTGAGACTCCGGTATTGATTCTTGATGATGACGTTGCTCCCGCTGCTGCTCATGACTCTGTTGAGCAGCTTTTTATTAGCGGGTTTGTAGTGAAAGCTTAGGCCCTGTTTTAGATGAAGTACCCTTGGCTTTTTTTTCGACACCCGTGTCTGTAACTCATTCTTTGTCAGTCTCGATTGTTTCTGTTCCTCCCCAGACTATTTTTACCACTTTTTCTGTTCCTCCTTCGACAATTCCTCCTCCAAACATTCATCGCACTGAAGTTGGCTCCTCAAGTAGGAGTGCTGCTATGAGGCGAGTAGTCATTGAAGTCCCTGTTGAGGGCAGTCTCTTAAGCAAATCAGGTCAGGCGGATGTATGGCTAGAGCCTTTAATTGGCCCAATTGAGAAAGCTAAGCTAGAGAGCCATAGTTCCTTGACCTTGATGAACGATATTATGCACGCCACTTTGAAGGTATTCCCCTTCTCTTTTTTCTTTTACTTTGTAATTTTTCTATCTTTGAGGATTCTTATTTCCTTTTTCCCTTTTTAGGCCAACCTTATCGGCACAAAGATGATGAAAAGAGTTGCCTACTCAGATCAATTAGTGCGTGATTCTCAGTTAGAGGCGTGCAATTGGAGGGAACAGAGTGAGAGCTTGCAAATTGATGTGGAGTATTTAGAGGAGAGTAAGAGTACCTTGGAGCAGCAGGTACGGGCTTTGACTTCGGAGTTGGCGGTTGAAAAGGCTTCCTCAAGCCAAGAAGATAAAGAAAAAACTCTCCTTGAAACTTCCTTCTCAAAGCAGTTGTCCAAGGCTAGTGAGGAAATCAGAAAGTTGAAGGCTCTTTTGAGTAAAAAAGAAGCTTACGCTGGGGAGCTCGTACAAAATTTGACTCAGGAACAAGAAGACCTTCGAGCTTCTTTTGATAAGGTGCATGCTTTAGAAAGCTCTCATGCCTCTCTCCAGACTTCTTACACATCTGCCTTGGCTGAAAATGAGAAGTTAAAGAACGTGATTGCTGACTGGGAAAGGGATTATGAGATCCTTGAAGATAAATCTGATATTGAAGTAAGTTGGGCGTTTTTGAATTCACGCCATGATACCCTAATTGAAACTGGCCAAGAAAATTTCAATTTGGAATCTGAGTTGGCTAAAATCAATGAAACTATTGAGAAAGCTCAGTAAACTCAAGGTTTTCCTTCTCTCGTGGCCGAAGCTTCCGTGAATGTTGAAGTCGATACGGGTATCCCAACTATTTCAAGCCCAGTCAAGCCTATTGCTACAAGTCAAGCTGAGCCAACTGTTGATACTCCTGGCCAAGTTGAGCCCGTTGCTGTTGATGCTCCTGCTTTAGTACCTTCAACTTCTCAGTGACCAGCTTTAGTTGTTTGAATATCTTTGTTTTTGTTTTATTTGGAAACTTGTGATCAAACCCTTGGTTTCATTTGGGGGTTTATTTTGGATATGCAAGTCCCCAGACCCTTTCATGGGGCAATTTGTATAAACAATTCGTAGCTTTACAACTAAGTACATACTTAGTCTTAAGTTTTTTTTTAAAATATTAAGAAGTTTTCTTGTTATTATCTTGAACTTCTATTTACTTTATTCTTGCCTTTATTTCTAAGGACTTACAGAATAATTTGCATTTTTATTCTTCAAAAATGCTTTTGTTAATCTTATGACTAATTAATTTAAACATAAGTTTTATAAAAGAGGGCCCTTTTATTTCGACACTTAATGAAGAAGACGTCTCAACTTCATAATGGTGTTTAACATACGATAAAAGAAATAGGAACACACATGTTTCTTTGAAATAACTTTGACAAGTTTTTATTTAAACCTTGTCTAGTTTTGAATAACACTTTACAAGTATTTGAATTACATCTATAACTTTCTCGTAAGTGTTTTTATTGTAACAGATTTAAAAAAAGTAAAAATAATAAACACGAGGTTTTTATTTATAACTCGTTTCAGTACGTAGCATTTACCCTAACTATAGTAAGGTTTTATTTGGCCTTAGTTCATGACTTCGTGACTTTTACTCTGCACTTGACTTCTTTGCCTTCTTTATACAAATGCTTGTGTATATTATGTAGTCCCCCAAGTGTTTGAGTGTTGAAGTATGAATCTTCGAGCACTTGATTATTCCTCTCATTTGGTCCTTTCCCTGAAAAAGGAAAAATATACGGGACTCGGAGGTGCGATTATAGATGAAGACTGCTTAACCCGTTTTGAATTTCTATCAGAATATTTGTAGCCCTGGACCGGGAAGTTTAATGTATTCCACGTGCCTTGCAGGTCATGGCTCATCATTTAGTACGGGCTAGCTTTTTGCCTATCATCTAAAATCGTTAGTAAAATTTTAACAATTCAAAAATAGAATTTTAAAACATAGATACCTGACCGTGGGTATTCCTTAGAAGTAGTATCTCTTCAAATGAATAACATTCCAATGTGAAGGTAGTATTTTGTCATCCATTGTTTCCAGTTCATATGCTCCTTTACCTGCAATATCATGAATTCAATAGGGTCCCTCCCATGTTGGACTTAATTTACCCGCATTAGCTGCCTTCGTAGATTGGAAAACCTTTTTGAGCACGAAGTCCCCAATTTTGAAGAATCTGAGGCGTGTTCTTCAGTTGTAGTACCATTCTATGACTTGCTTCTGTGTTGCCTTTCTTATTAATGCAGCTTCCCGTCTTCCTTCAAGTAAATCAAGATTTACACGCATTTCTTCGTCATTAGACTCTTCTGTTGCCTGCGTAAACCTCAAACTTGGCTCTCCTATCTCAACGGGAATTAAAGCTTCTGCTTCATAAACCAACGAAAATGGTGTTTCTCCTGTGCTTGTTTTTGTGGTTGTGTGATATGCCCATAAAACACCAGGTAACACTTCTGGCCAATTACCTTTTGATTCGTTAAAACGCTTCTTCAAATTGTTGTTAATGACTTTATTTGTTGATTATTCTTGCCCATTACCCACCAGATGATAAGGCGTAGACGTAATCCTTTTAATCTGCCAACTTTGAAAGAATTCCATGATTTGAGCTTCTACAAACTGAGGGCCATTATCGCACACGATCTCTTTTGGTACACCGAATCGGCATATGATATTACGTCAAATGAAATCTTTCACTTCCTTTTTTCGCACCTGTTTGAATGCTCCTGCCTCTACCCATTTAGTAAAATAATCAGTGAGTACGAGCAAAACTTTTACCTGTCCTTTTGCTTGTGGTAATGGACCCACGATATCCATTCCCTATTTTATAAATGGCCACGGTGCAATGACCAGATGTAGTAACTCCGCAGGTCTATGCATATTGTTACTGTACCTTTGACATTTATCGCATTTAGCTACGAAACTCTCTGCTTTTTCGTCCATTTTAGGCCAATAATACCATGCCCTAATTAGGGTTCTTACCAATGATCTTCCTCCTACGTAATTCCCACAATGCCCCTCGTGTATTTCCCTCATTACGTACTCCGTTTGAGAAGGTCCAAGTCATCTTGCTAAGGAACCACCAAACATTTTTCAATAAAGATTGCCTTGCTTTAAGCAGTATCGAGCAGCCTTTTTTCGAAGAGCATGAGCTTTTTTCTTATCACCAGGGATGGTACCATACTGCAAAAAAGCAACAATCTCATTCCTCCAATCCCAAGTTAAGTTATTAAAATTTACCTTATTCTTATCGGGGTCGAGAACTGAATGAAACAAATGAATAACTGAAGCGTTTGCATCACTTTCCACGTCAGCCGCAGATGCGAGATTAGCTAGGGTGTCTACTTCAACATTTTCGTCCCTTGGTATTTGTGTAACTTTCCAATTTTGAAATTGTATTATCAAATCCCGTACCTTTTCCAAGTACTGTTGCATCCTTGCTTCCCTGGTTGTATAAGTCCCCAGCATTTGATTAACTACGAATTGTGAATCACTCTTGATTATAATCTGATTTATGCCAAGTTCTTGTGTCAGTTCTAAACCTGCAATCATAGCCTCATATTCTGCCTCATTGTTAGTTATAGAATGACATTTGATAGCTTGTCGAATGGTTTCACCCGTAGGTGGTACCAATACGATCCCTAAACCTGCACCTTTTACGTTAGATGAACCATCAGTGAATAAAGTCCAAGTTCCTGAGTTAGATCCATTGAACACCTGTAATTCTTTATTTGCTTCTAACTGCATCCCTTGGCTAAAATCAGCCACGAAATCAGCTAACACTTGAGATTTTATAGCAGTTCTAGGTTGGTATGTGATTTCGTATTCACTTAATTTTGTAGCCCACTTAGCCAATCTATTTGATAACTCATGCTTATGCAATATATTACGTAAGGGATAAGCAGTTACTACAACAGTAGGGTGACACTGAAAGTAAGGTCTTAATTTCCTAGATGCCATGATTAATGCAAGTGCAAGCTTTTCCAATTGAGGATATCGTGTCTCTGCATCTAACAAAAATTTACTAACATAATAGATCGGAGATTGTTTAACTTGGTCTTCTCGGACTAAAATAGCACTTACCGCTACTTCATAAATAGCAAGGTAAATGAGAAGTCTTTCCTCAGCCTTTGGTTTTGCCAGCAATGGTGGATTTGATAAGTACGTTTTCAAATTTCTGAGCGCCTGCTGGCATTCCTCATTCCATTCGAAATGAGCCTGCTTTTTAAGAGCTGAAAAGAATTTAAAGCACTTTTCTGATGATTTGGAAATGAATCTTCCCAAGGCTGCAATTCTTCCTGTTAATCTCTGAACTTCTTTTTTACTTGTAAGCATATCAAGAATTTCTTCAATGGCCTTAATCTGTGTGGGATTCACTTCAATACCACGGTTAGAAACAAGAAACCCTAAAAACTTACCTGATGCAACACCAAATGCACATTTCTCGGGATTTAACTTTATATTAAATTTGCGCAGAATTTGAAAAGTATCATACAGGTGTGATATGTGATCTCTCAAATGCTGAGTTTTAATGAGCATATCATCTATATAAACCTCTGTAGTTTTTCCCAAATGTTCTTGAAAAATTTTAGTAACCAGCCTCTGATATGTTACACCAGCATTTTTTAGACCAAAAGGCATTACTTTATAACAGTAAGTCCCTATGTTTGTTATAAATAAAGTTTTTTCTTCATCTCCCAGATCCATTTTGATCTGATTATAACCTGAATATACATCTAAAAAGCTTAATAGTTCATGCCCTGCAGTTGCATCAATCAGCTGATCTATATGTGGTAGGGGAAATGAATCTATAGGGCAAGCTTTATTAAGGTCTGTGTAATCTACACAAACTCGCCACTTACCGTTCTTCTTTGTAACTATGACAGTATTGGCTAACCAATTAGGATATTTTACCTCGCGGATGGATCCAATCTTTAGCAATTTTTGAACCTCTTCTTGAATCACCTGATTCTTGAAAGTTCCTTGCTTTCTTTTCTTTTGCTTGACAAGAGGGTATGATGGGTCTTCATTTAATTTGTGAGTCATCACCTTCGGTGGTATCCCTGTCATGTCAGAGTGGGACCAAGCAAAATAATATACATTAATTTTTAAAAGTTCAATTAACTTACCTCTCATGCCTTGGCTAAGATTGGCCCCTACGTAGACTTTCTTATCAGGCCATTGAGTGAATAACACAACAGGCTCCAATTCCTCAATTGTTGTTTTGATATTTTCGTTTTCTTCTGGTTCTTGAATGGTGTAAGGCCTTGAATCCACATTTGTTCGTCCCTGTTCAGTTGAGGTTTATGTTGTGGTGCCCTCAACTATCTTCTGTGATTGCTATTTTTCTTCATTTTTCATACTTGAATCTGCTACAGAATTGATGCTCCTGGATGTATGTTGATCTCCACGAATTTGACATACTCCCCAAGGTGATGGAAATTTAATGACTTGATGCAAGGTTGAAGGAACAACATTCATTTCATGGATCCATGGTCTCCCAAGGATCATATTGTAAGCCATCTCCATATCTACTACTTGAAACTTTGTATCTTTGACAACTCCTTCTACGAATGTGGTAAGTGTTACCTCTCCTTTATTCACAATACTAGAATTGTCAAATCCAGATAGAGTATGCGCCTTTGGTATTATTCTATCTTCTACTTGCATCTCACGTAATACTCTTAGCAAAATAATGTTCACGAAACTACCTGGATCAGTCAAAACTCGTTTTACATTAGTATCATGTACAATTAGAGATATTACCAGTGCATCGTTATGAGGGGTTAATACGCCATCTGCATCATCAAATGTAATGCTTTCTTCCTCTATGACATGCCGCACCCGTTTCCCTTGGGTGATTGTAACTTTGGAAATTTTGTTAGCTGCAGTGTATGATATGTCATTGATGTTTTCACCTCCGCTTATAACGTTGATGGTTCTTTTGGGAGACGGTGGCTTCGGGGGCTCCTGCATGTTCTTCATGTAAGCTTGCTTACCTTTCTTACTGAACAACTCAGTGAGATATCCTTGTTTTAATAAA